TACATGAATACTTCTACTACAACTAGACTGGAAAATTCAGTTGCCTATTTTCATTTATACAGACACTAAAGACACATCATAAATTAGAAGACCTGACATCATAAATTACAAAATTATACCATTAGGATTTTCATAGCCACGATAGTGTAGTAAATATGCTAGCTAGTGAAAAACTGTTGCCAAAAATTGGTCCTTAAAAAAAGTCAAATGCAAGATTGCCTGGGACAAATCACTTGATTATAATGGAATACAGAAAGCAGAGTGAAAAGCCATAAACTCCTCCTCTTTCATGTTTATATGGTGGGGGGGGACGGGAACGCCAACTGAGTTTAGAGTAAAATTTTTACGCTGGCTTGGAGGAAAGCTGAATCCAGGCAACACTATATAGAGGGTTCGTACACACTTCAGCACTTGGAAATTAAGTACTTTTAAGGACTATCAATAAAAAATTATTTGAGGACCTATGAAGCAAATAAGAACTGAATAAACTAAAGCAGTTATCTACACCCGAATTTCGCTTTTAATAATACCACTTTTGTAATCTGTAAGAATAAAATAAATTTATAAATAGTATACATTATTATAAACATAATCTAATATTTAACATTAAGTCAAATTTTCCAAGTAATTATTTGTTTTAAGATTAACTTAAAACAAATTCAAGAACAAAATGACGTCACAAATTTTTCAAGTAACTAGCATTAAAATTTAAAATTTTTTAAAACTTTTATATTTTACATCTGCAGCAGACCCAATATTTTAAAGAAAATTAGAAGAATTTTGTTTAAATGTTGCCAACATTTAGCTTAATATTGATTCTTTCTTTTATGCCTCATTTCATCATGTACTCTCTCAGTTCAGAGGTAGTCGGAGCAAATTTTATGTCAAGTGGCATAAGTTAAACTATAAAGTAAAATAATAATAACGTGATTCACAACAGAAACTTGGCTATTGCTTAGAGATACTGATCAGAACAGACGTGAACGCCTGTCATCAGGAAGTGCTGAAAGTTAGTTGCAAGTGGCATAAACTGTAAAGTGGAATAATAATTAAAATGCCTCATAACAGAAGCTTGGCTGTTGCCACCGCAGTTGGTTGCTTAGAAACAGAGAACCACTGATCAGAACTGACCGTGAACCCCTGATGTCAACAAGTGTTGAAAGTTAGTTGCAAGTGGCATAAGTTAGGCTGTAAAGTAAAATACTAATCAGCATGACTCATAACAGAAGCTTGGCTGTTGCCACCGCAGTTGGTTGCTTAGAGACAGAGAACCACTGATCAGAACAGACCGTGAACGCCTGATGTCAACAAGCGTTGAAAGTTAGTTGCAAGTGGCATAAGTTAGCCTGTAAAGTAAAATACTAATCAGCATGACTCATAACAGAAGCTTGGCTATTGCCACTGCAGTTGGTTGCTTAGACAGAGAGCCACTGATCAGAACAGACGTAAACGCCTGATGTTGGCAAGTGTTGAAATTTAGTTGCACTTTATCTGACCCAGATAGTCTCATAGCTTTAGTGTAGATTTGTTGAAGTTGTAATCCAATTAATATACAGTATTTAATATAATAAAGTTCCAATAAGCCACTGAAATACCAGGGATGTTAGGTTGTTTTAGATTATTTTATGAAGTCTCATTAACTGTAAGAAATAAACTTTTACATTTCTGTGTTGTACCTTAGATACATAATAAAGATTAAGGAAAGGAGACAACTCATCTTAACATGTAGAGATAACTTCTAAGGGTTAGTTAGAAATAATTAAATTATATAGTTAGATACTCTTAGCCATAATAGATTTACATGGTTACAATCACGATTTTTTCCTACTTCTAAAAAATATCCATTAAGAAAGCATAAGAACATTTTACAGCAGTTATAATTTATGATATTGATTCTAAAACGATAATAGTATAAATGTATATTAAAAGCTATAAAAAATTTGTTTTGTAGCAACAACAAACAATAAAATACGTATGCGTCTTTTTGACTTAAATATTATCCAGATATTTCAACTACTTCAAAACGATATCGTTTTCTTCAACATTTTTTCTAAGTTTATTTGTTTTAATAAGCAAATCAATCTTCCCAGTAGTTTCCTGCTTCATCTCCTATTTTGTTAATGTTTCAACAAGGTACCTGTGAAGAATGACTTTCTTTCTCTTTATAAAAAAAACTTCTTTTTTAGTGAATTTCCACTTCATTTTAGAATTTTAAGATTTAATTTTTGTTATTCTAAGGAGCTGCTTGTCTTAAGAATGTATAGAAGAAACTGCTAATTTTATTTTTTTAATAATATGAGTATTGAAAATAAATAAGAATGATAAAAGGACAAGACCGGCATCGGAGCCAATGTGGCATTATTTTTAGAATTAACCCAGACGGGAAAGTGGTTAGTGACGCTGACTGCCATACCAAAGTGCCTTGGGTTCGAATAACGGAGAAGTTTTATGGATGTAAATTGTATGTCCCTTCATAGGAAGCAACAGCGGCTGGCTGTTAGGTGCTTTAATAAAAAAAATGACTACCGCTTCTGAACTTAGTAGTGGCCAAAGCCTAAAACTGCTAGTGCCCGCGATAAATAAATAATTTTTTTAATTTAGGGCAGGCACTGAGACATTTATGATGAATCTTTTAATTAATTGTCGGTTTTCAGTTTCTTTGCTTTGATGTTTATGTCTAGTGGAAAGATAAGAAAATAAAACATATTAAGAGAAAGACTTCTGGGATCAAAAGGAGAAAATTTAAATACTATTCTTTTCACTTTTTTTCTAAAAATTCTCCAAAAGATAAATAATTCATCAAAATTTTTCTATAAAACACATCATTACGTGTTAATACCATGAGGGCACTTTTCAGTTTGTCTTATTTTTCTGGAAATTTGTAGGTATATAAATCTTGCGTTTAGATCTTCTGAGGTGCAAGTTTCAAAATAAATAAATAAATAAATATCCGTAACAACTCTGTAAGAGCAAAAAGCCAGATTTTTGAAAAAAAATTCAGACAAGACAAAGGTAAAGGGAATTTTCGAAAACTGACACCCATTTATATATTCTGAAACAATTACATTGGGAAATACCCTTATTATGAAAAAAATATATATAAAAGATAGACAAATGAAATTATTTTTGAAATAATTACAGCAGCATTTTTTTTTTCCCCCCTAAGAAGTGTTTTGGAGCATTTATTATCTTCTTTATTTTTCAGAATCAAAATATTTGGAAGTCACCAAAAATGTAATGTCACTTAAAAATATGACAGGCGAAAACAAAAATACTTCATCTTAATGCTATTTTTTAAAAGATAATTTTAATTTATTACAATTATCTTTCATATTTATCAATGCTATTATGTTAGTAAAAAAATAGTCACCATTTTGCAAATCTTCGAATAAAATATTGTATACAAATTGGTTCTGAAATCGCTAAAAAATGTTGATAAGTCATCAAATTTTCTTGAGGTATTATTTTATAAACTCCTCGTTCGCACAAAGAAAAAAAATTAAGAGATGTTTATATTTCAATCGAAGCAGGACCTCGATCTTCTTCCTAAAACTCGAGTATCCACATTTTTTATTAATTAGGAAAGAATTCAAACGTTCACCCATCAAATACATACTGGTCGATGCATCGCCAAAACAAATTCCTCCAAAATATTAATTCACACTCAAAATGTCAGTGATAGAGAAATAGACAGAAATGTCATATGTGTAATTAAGGACCTTTTGCCAGTTTGGGCCGAAATTAAGGAATTTTAAAGACCAAAAATCGTTTCCAAAAAACCAAAGGACTCTTAAATACTTTTAAGGACCATATGAACCCTGCATGTATAAGAATACAATGAAGTCCTAAAAACATATTTCAGATATTCTCATTATCCCAAAGTATCTCTTAATTCATGCATAATTTAAGTTATGCATGAACCCGTATGCCTTCAGTGGTTATTTATCTTTGAAGGTATGTCATCCAAAAGGGCTTTATAAATGAAACTTCTTAAGGGTGAGAGGCCCTAGTGGAGGTGTCTCGAAGGAGAGGAGATGTTCTAACCACTTTAAATGGTACAATGACTGACTGAGTAGCAGACTGTGGGCAGAGGGAAATTGCTGCATAAATAAATATAAGCATAAGTGTATATATTTTTTATTCTTTTATCAAGTTTCAGAGTATTATAAAAGATAATACCTTTTTTAAATATATTTTGTATTAAATGCAATAAAATGGTATTATTTTGTGGAAATAAAAGGGAAAAATTATGTTTCGGTTAATTAAATTTGGGGAAAAACTTATTATTTTGTTGAAATAAAGGGAAAAAAATTATGTTTTAGTTAATTAAATTAGGAAAAAAAATTAAAGTAATCTGATTTTCTCTGGTTAACGAATAATAAAAATTAAGTTTTAGTGCCATATATTTTGTTCAAATAACAGATATTAAGTTTCTGTTTCATGCGTTTTGTTCAAATAACGGAAATTAAATTTTCGTATCATATATTTTGTTTATATAACAAAAATTAAGTTTTCATATTATGTGTTTTCAAATCAGATATTTTGTTTTGAAGTGTGTTCTAAAATATAAGAACCTTTTTATAAACCTTTCAAATTAAAAATCGTTCTAGATAGGCCAGGTTCACCATCCCGCAGTTGAAAACTGCCTTGCGGTAGGAGTGGGGTCGATTGCCCCTGAGACTCCTCAACTACCTCCTATCCAGGATACTGCCATGCTCTGCGATCTGTTTGGGTGTGAGAAGGGGACCATAACCCATATTAGACTCATTTTCAGTTCGGTATCACAACGTGGATTTTGGACATCCCAGCACTGATTATCAAGCATACATAAAATGACATATATTTGTGACTGATACGTCTCTTCTGTTATATATGTATATTCATACCAAATTTCATATGTATTAGTTTTTCAGAAATTCAACATAATGTGCCCATTCTCTTAATTTAGCATACATGTGTATTTCATAGAAATGAAACTCAGAGCCATTTTTCTTTTCTAGGGTGATAGCGGAGGACCACTTGTATGCAGGCTAGCTGGCCAATGGTATATAATGGGTGCTACTAGCCATGGCACTGGCAATAATTATATGAGCGGCCTTTGTGCCATGCCAGACAGCAAGATTGTTTTCTCTAAAGTGGCTGATAAAGGAAACTGGATTCGACAGATAATTGATATGAACAGCTGAAGGAACTATCACAGTTTTTGTTATGTCTGATTAAATAAATAAAATTTGAATATTTCTTTAAAGATTGTGGCTAAAAAATGAAATTTATTTTGAAATCATATATACCAAAAGTTGATAACGCAGTGGACAATACGATTCTGGAGCTGGGTACATAGACAAGTTGCAGTATTCATGGACCGCTGAATGCATTTTATTCCTTGACAAAACAATGCCTTTATTCTATGCAAACATTTTTGATGACAGATAAACTAGCACCAAACATGCCTATTTTTAATGAATTTTCCCATTTTGGTTCATCATAATTTTTCTCACTGGTAAAGACGACGTGACTCCATCGATAAGGTGTCCAGTCTTTGTGTCGCCAATTGGTTGTTGTCAATGGTATGTGTAGCGTTCAAGGACAGCGGGCAAATAGGTCACAATTATGAAGTCGTTTGGCCTGGTATAAAGAAACTGTGTGAATACAGGCTTCTCCTTTGTCTGCTCAGAGAATTTAACGACCTCATACATCGAAAGAAGGTTTCCTCTTCCCTTAAATATTACAGGGGGTCTTCATATTTTCCAAAGATTTCTCCTTTTCAAAAAGGTGAGGGTCACAGTTTTATTTTTCGAAGGTAATAGTAGCCAAGAAGAAAAGAAAAATAGAATTACACATCGCAAGAACAAGTAAAGAATATCTAACAAGCACGGTAATTACTTGAATGACAGTAACAAATCAAGAACTTGCAACAACAGAGAAAATAAAAGGTGTTAATAAACACACATATTAACATTAGAAACATCTTTCATTAACTACTATTATGTTAGTAAAAAAATAGTCACCATTAAACAGTGCTTTAATAGTATTATAATTTAAATAATTATAAAGCATACAAATTATGTACATAGGCTGTTCACACATTTTTAGACAACTTTCAACATATTTAAACAAATCTTTTACCTCAACTTTTTGTGTTTTAAACGTTCTGTTTGATAGCCCTTATTCTTCACTATCTTTCTCCACCTTAATTTCCAAGTCTTTTGTAATATCGGAAGAGGTACTTTATCCCACTCCTCTTGAACACCTTTCCATAGTCCAAGGAAGTTTGCAGGTCGACATCTGGACACAGTCCACAAGCACAAATATCCATGGGTGATACATCAGATTGTGCAGGGTAGTGAAGGGTATGACCTAGACACCGGTTTCTTGTTCCATTTTTTGAAGGAGATTAGCAGTGGATTTTGACGTAAGGCTGCTTGCTTTGCCTTGATGTTATAATAAATGGATCTCTTTCTATTGCAGTCATTTAAATATAAGCAAGATTCATCTATTGTGAGACCATTTTTGTCCGGATAAATGTTTCTCATAAAGAATTCTGCATTCGGCGATAGGTCGTGGTAAAAGACTAAGCATACTGTTTTTTTTCAACGTTTTAAGAATCAAATCAGCATTAATCACTTTGTTTAAAGTTGGCACTGGGCATTTTAATGACTTTGCAACTGCCCTTGGCGTATTTTCTTTTAACATTAAAGATCTTACCCTTGCAACATTCCGTTTTTCCTTCGATATGTATTTGGAACGTCTTTTGAAGCCAAATTTTTGACTTTTTTTGCCTTCCTTGTTGATAATATTACTTATCGTAGCTTTAGATATTGAAAACTCATGTGCTTTCACAGTGTTTTTTAATAACTAGATACAAGTAACTTTCATCGTAAAGAGCAGAAACAAAGAGCTGAAGCTCTGAACAAAAAAGACTAACCAAGCAATGTTTTCAAAACTCCTGAATGCCTTTTTATGTATAAAGCTGAAGCTCTGAATAAGAGAGATCAATGCTTTTAAAACTCCTGAATGCCTTTTTATGTATTTACCATATTCAGTTATAAAATTTATTGTACCCATTCTGTTCATTTCTTTAATTTTTTTTTTTTTTTTTTTTTTCCTTTTGCTATGCAATTCAGAAACAGAAATAGGTAGAGTCTAAATATTCTTACAACTATATTAGGTTTTTGATCTCGACTTTTACATGCATTGCAATATAAATGTGTAGTATTAGGAGTATCTGCTGTTAATTCCCAAAGTGCTGAAAAATTTTTTAAAATAATAAATGAGATATATTATACATCACAAGAACTTGTATTATAAATTACAACAGTTAGAAATATCATTAGGGTGATTTCATGACCATCTTTCTTTATGAAAACTTTCAAATCATTCATTTTACAATTAAATCTGAAACTAGACTGGAAAATAAGCTGCAAATTGAAGATAATTTGTACCAAGATGTTAGAGACATCTTCACTGCACTAGAATTATGATGCAAGAGTTTATTAAAATTATTAAATATAAATTGGCATAAATACAATACATGAAAAAGAAACAGATTAATAGGAAATTAAAAATCCCTAGCTATGAATGTAAGGGAGTTTGATTTTTTCCCATTAATTATGAAAATGCTGCAGAAATTGACAATCTATTCACTTGTATTATCGAGTGCGGAAGCAAGGGCGTCAGCAGAATTTATTCTCAGTACTTAGATTTCAATTAAGGCAGTCAGTTTTATTTGGCAGATATGATTCAATTTCTGTTCCTTTTAATTTTAAAAGTAAATGTGAAAAAGGAATTTATTTTATGCATTGCAGTACTTACTGCAGTACTTTGTATAGTGGTCTGCGATTTTTCAGAATTAATTATTTATTTCCATGCATGGTACTTTGGCATCACATTACAAATGATGCTATACTTCCATAACCAAGTTCTAGTTATAAGATTAATTATTATAATTTTACAAATTAAATTATAACACTGAACTTTTACATGTTTCCTTTTGCTAAACTTCCAAGATTATTTCTAAAATTTATATTAGAACTTTACTTCCAGTAAATTAGGAATGTTTTCACATATAATAGATTTAAGTTGAATTGTTAAAGTAACCCACTTTTCTTATTAAGATATTTAGCTACAGGAAAAATATTTTTTAGTTTAGGTTAGGTTATTTGAATATGGCAAAACACACAAGGCATCCCTATCTAAGAGAAGGGTTGCCTTTGTGTAGGACTTTTAAAGGAGAACTGCCTCATTCACATTGCATATTAAGAGAAACATAAAAACAACAATGCAGAAGTATTTCTTATTTGAGGGATTAAGGGAATGAAATTATGGTATTAATTTTTTAATAGATACATTAATTATTTAAAACAATAGCAATATAAAAATAAGGAAATTACATTTCATCGGTACTTACAAATGGAAGAAGTTAATCTGACTTGCAATAAAAGAATTAATTCATGGCCAAAAGTACAAGTTACTTTATTTTGTAAACAAGCTGAATTTAAAACTGCATTTTAACAGAATTTAACACATTGCAGAAAATTTTATAAATGGAACAAAAATTACTATAAATCAAAATGTATATTTAAGCCACACTGACAAACTTTATTCAAAACATTTATTTATTTTATTTTAGATAAATGTATTTTACTTCTCCAAACAAGACACTTTATTTTGTTATTAGAAATATAAAAATTATATCTAACCCTCTAATTACATCTAGTTTAATTATCTAACCTAATCACATCTAGTTTTGATTTGATGTATCATTTACAGAAATGGACAATGAAAAGATATTAATTTCTGCAATTGTGCTTTAAGGCTCAGGAAAATTAACAAAGGAATCTGGAAAATTAACACATACCCTTGGCTCTCAGGCATAAAAGTGTTTTTAATTAAGACTTCTGAATACAGTTTGTTGTGATACAATAGTACCAATGCCAGCTGCAAGCTCTGAACGTAACTGCTGAGCGGTAGACTTCCTGTTACAAGCAGTTACTGCCACAAATACCAATATCGAGAAGTAGTTGTTATTCATTTATGACCTCATCCAGGTCTCTTTACAACAGAGTTCTAAAACTGTACAGAGACTGTTTGCCTTGAAATATTCACACGTCTCATTGCTTTCCTGATTATGTGCCCTGCTTCTAAACAGCCGATGATTTGCCACTTCATAGGTTCTTCCAAATGATACTTCAGAACAATAACAAACCATTTAAAGTACTTACAGACCAAAATCAAACAGCATATTGCAGAAATTCATTCAGTTATTCACTTTGTGCATAGCACCTGATTTACCATCACATGATTAACCCCTTCGAGCCGGGTAGCGAAAACGCGCGCTTATCGCGGAGGCCAGCAGTGTCTTCCGCGAGCGTCTCTCCAGGGCCGGGGGCTTTTTTGCTACTAAGCCTAAATCCATGAAATTTCCGAAGTATCAACGCATTGTTTAATAATGCTCTATAGAGTATTTAAACAGCTTATGCTTTATCGATATTTATATATATACTTTAATTACCTTATTTCTTGTTTAAATGCATATTTTACACATTTTATTTAATTACTCACCATTTTATGACTTTTAACATATACATCTGAAAACTAAATATATTACTTAAAATTCTCTTTTTGTATGAAAAATTTGAAAACAGAGATCTACACACAGTCACATGTTACATTCCTTGAACTCGTAATAACTCATTTGCCGTTTTGGAGGATTTTTCTGGGAATGTGAACAAACGAAGCATCGTCGTCTCATTTTCTTATCAGTCACTTCTGAACAAAGTTTTGGAAAATGTCTTTCAGTTAATCTTTCAGAATCAATATCAGAATATCAGAATTTCAGAATCAATATCCGAAATATTTTGCATCATTTCTGCTATTTCATGCTCTGTTAAACATTTTCGACGCTTCGACATTGAAACAGTAAAAACAGAAAGAATTCACGTCTAACAAGATCTAATTATTTTCTAAAAACTGAACTGTGAACCGAAATACTCAACGCTTTAGCGCATATAAAACTTCTACTTACGATAAACAACTACCACGTGCGAATAAAGTGCGATTTAAAGAGACGTCATAAATCACGCCATTCGGAAACACTTAGTTCTCTGTTTGTTTAAATAATCAAAAACACGTGTATGCGAGTCATGCTTCTCTCATTTCGAGTAGAAGGTCTAATGTACATGTATCTGAAACCATATGGACATACAGTGCCATCTTGTGGTAGAAATTATAGTTTGAAAAACGTTCCAGGGTACTGGCACAAATACATAACAGTCGGTAGTAAACGCAAAAATGCTCTGGCACACCTGCGTGTCGGCCGGTAGGTAAGTGTGTTCGTTGATGGCACGTATACGTGACAGTCGGCGCGAAGGGGTTAACAGTTCAAGCAAGATCAGAAGGTCAAGCAGTTCTTCATTTGCATATAAAAAATTGCTGCTACTTTTCCGTTTCGCCGGCGCAAATCTCACCAAACAGACTTTGTTGGCGACAGTATACACATAAAAAATGTTAGTTCTAAGAATTTTTTATTTTGAAGGCATAAACATTTTAGTATGGTTTAAAATTTTGTAAAAAGCCAGTAAATAAAGACAATAAATTTGTAAAATGACATTAATTTAAAATTTACTATGCTTTCATGGTTCAACATCCTGATTCGCCGATTCATATCACGTGACCCCAAGTGATCTTATGTCACGTAAACTACGATACAAAAAAACTAATTCCCTCAATAATTATCTACATTAATTAAGTTAAATCTTAAT